GCGCGGTGTTTACGGTGATCGCGGTTCTGGTGCTTGTGAACGTGCTGTTGATGTTCATCCTCGGTACTCGTTAAATGGATCTGCGCTTGGGGCCCGGTTCGCAGCGCAGCGCACTTTCACACAGGAGAGGAGAGAACAGCAGTGCGCGTTGGTCGAGAGCGGGGACACCCGGCGCTCCATCACGGCTACGCGTTGAAATGAATGACGTTGGTACAACATAATGTATTTCTGTTTCTTCCCACCACCCTACCACCACCCCCACCCTCTCCCTCCTTCCAATCCTTCGTTATGTTTTGTGTCCTCCTCCCCCCCGTTTGTGATAGCTAGTGTTGTCTGGTGGTGGTCGTAGTTGTGCGGATACAGATCTGTGATGCGCTTACCTTTTTCTGTGGTGACTGGAAATTCATTTTCCCCGCATAATAGTATAAACATCTCCCCTCCAACCCACCTTCCCCAACCCCACGTCGATCTTCCCCTCTCCTCCATGTTGAATATTGTGGATTATGCGCATTGATTAATTTTATTCTATAATAATATGACTTTTAGATGGGAAATGAATGTGACGGTGTTTTTAAAAATCATTCTAACAACATCCTACTGCTGCGTAAGGACTTGTTTTTTTTCCTCCCTTTTGTGATCCACTGTAGCCTCATCCACAATATGGCAGCTAATAGCTGTGCTGTGATATCTCCCCACAAGTCAGTGTGATATTTGTAGCAAATAGCGGTGCAAGTGAGAGGTTTGTGCTGCTGATCACACACTCTAGAACATCATTGTAGTCTCGGCTGAACAGTAACCAACAGCATGGCAGGGTAGGCCTAATAAAGCAGGGCCTCATCACTCCAGGTTTCCCCCATTTTAGATTCAGCTAAACTGAGCTCCCATTTCACAGCCCCCCCCCAATATTGTGCCCTGTTTTCTCTCTTGCACTTGTAGCACCTGTTTCTGAAGCCCACACGTTATGTCACCCAGGCACTAAATGGTGACTAATAAAAAATGCATCATTATATATTTCTTTCAGATGAAATGCAGTCCAAGTGAAAAGGCTTGTCAGCTGGAGATGACAAAAAAAAGTCTTTTTCCTTCCATTCCCTTCCAAGTGCACCGCCATAGTCTAATAAAGGATTGGAGGCAGGTGTCATGAATGTTGAATGAATGTCTGAAATAGATATTCTGAAAGCCCTATCCCAGAGCTGTCCATGACAGTCCTATTAATAGGGATGTTAGACTCGCCAGGTTTTCTGAAGATACTGTATGTGCTTCCTCACACTCACTGCTAAGTGCTGTGTGTTTTCTGTGCGTGTGCAGTTAAGTGATAAATGTTGGACTGCAGGTGCTGTGAGATGTGTATTATGAACACAGATACCTCCATCACATGCTGTTGCATGAGGGCTGGTGTTTTCATCTCTGTGGCTGGTACAAACGCATAAACAGCATCCCCCTTTCGGAGACCCCCGCAGGACTGTAAGCATGCAAATCGTCACAACGTCACAAGATCGTAACGTACACCGCAGTGGTTATGGGTCACATGGCCAACAAATGGAGTGCTAATTACAGATGTGTTGCTCACATGTAAGTATGCGAGCATGTTAAGTGATGTGGGTGAGAGGTAGTCTCGAGTGGGTGTTATCTGCTGTGCCTTTTCAGTCTGCATCCTGCGCACATCCCGAGCATTCACACGTTTGTAATTCCTCCAGGGCAGGTGCCTTCTAATAGAGTTCTGTTAAATGCTGTGCAGTCAGAAGTGTCAATGTGCAGATGGTGTGCACGAGTGGGACAGCGGCGTGTGTGAGGATGTGTGTGCATTTCTCACCGGTTTTAAGCAGAGCATCTTTGATTGGCTCCCAGACTCAGGGTATAAGTGTATTACATAACAGGGTTGGCAGACACAGGGAGGACGGACCGCGAGACTCACTCGGTGCATTGGAAAGAGAAGCCTCTTTCTGGAATACACTACCTTGTTACTTTACGGCTCAGGCTCTCGCGGAGGACCGTCACCTATTCCAAAACAGGGGTTCGATTATCATGATCGTATGAACCGGACTTCTCCATGCATACACTCTCCGAACAGTTACATGCCACAAACATGGTAAGGTTGGCTAAAGGCGTATGTGTGTGTGTATGCGTGCTTGTTCAGGGATGCTATTGGTACTTTGGTGCAGCTGTGCTAAGGCTGGATACAGAGGAGGATGTTGGAATGCAGTGGCTTTGCCAGTGCAGTGAATGCTGATGTGTTGCGCTGCAAAGATGATATAAGCAAGTGAATCTGCTTTCTATTCATACACATTTCCGTGTCAGGCTCCATGTCTGTGCTCTGACATGTAACAGAAAGCACTGTCACATACGCCTATATAAAGGGAAAGATTCCTCTGCATTCATTTGCATTGACCCAAATACGGGTTTTGCGGTTCAGAGATATCTGCTTAGCCCTCTGATCTTTCATGTAGGAACTGCAGTGTGCCCATAATGATGACATAGGTCATGACAGCTGATAGACACACATGTAATGATGAGTATGATGAGCAAGCCCTCTCTGTGCTTGGCTCTGTGTGTTTACTGTATTATCCAGCTAGGTATGGGGCCGTGCTTAGGCGGGAACGGGGGAAGATTGATTATGTAATGCTTTTAATTTATTCAGACATGTAGAGGGAAAAAAGGATGCAATATATTGGAGAGGGCAGTACTGATCTCATTAGAAAGATGGAGGGATAAACGGAAAGAACTGAGGAGGGAGGAACACTGTGAATGGATCTCCATCCCTCTTTCCTTTGCTCTTTCTGTCTGTTGCCCGTATTACAGCAGATTGATGGGGACAAGAGAGATTGCACTTGTAGTGAATGGGGCTGAAAATGGAGTGGTGCTGGAGGGACGACGAGGGGGTGGGAGGGCAAGAAGCAAGGCTGACCTCAGTGCCAAGGCTCATCTCTTCTATGGGCTTCTTTGTATGGTGTAAGTCAAGTGGAGCTGATTTGGCTTCCACTAGTTGTTCCTTCAGGTGTTTTTTCCCTAATAGATCATTTAAATTCCCTTTCCTGAACCAGCAATGATTTTTTAATGTTTTTGAGCACTACTTATTGGTCCTGTTTCCATGGCAGCGTGACACATGTTTTTGCGGTAACCCTCCTCTCTTCCTGAAGTGGAGGGCTTTGAGATATAGGCTACAGCTATTGTTACCCCAGCTACCTGTCCAAAGTGATGCCTGGCTAAACATCTTTGATCTCCGAACTGTCTGCAGAGGCCCGTGCTGTTTTCCTTTGCATTTTTAGATTTAATTTGAAATTGCAGTTTGTGATTGATTTTAATATTTAATAGCTGAGTGACACTGCAGTTATTCGGTGGTCACTCTTTGTGTGTGACTACTCTCTCACACACGCACACGCGCCTAAATGTGGAAATATTGTGGTGCACCCTGAATTGTCCTTGCCTCATCCCATCATCTTGTCAATATCAGTGAAGCATCCTCATCTGTCACCATGACGACGGCTGTTCTTTCACTTCCAGGCATGGAAGTCCGTCCCTCCCTGTATTCACTTCTCTGCCCTGATTGGCTTATAGCCCCTGTAGCTGTCTCAGTAATCCATCAGGGTGGTGGTCTTGTCTACAGGTTGGAGGGCCCATGTAGCTGCTGAGTTTGACACACGCACACACTGTGTTGTTTCTTATAGACACACTGCAAACTCACTGCATCGGCAGGAAGGTAGAAAAGCAATTTTGTGCTAGACTGAGGTAGAGGTAGGAGGGTCATTTTTGTCTTTTACAATAGACAAAATAATCTTAGATAATTAAAGAGAAAGAAAAACAATTAGCTAAACGTATAAAATGAAAGTAGCTCAATAGGATTACGCAAAGGCCTTAAGAGAAGTAAGGAACTAATTTTGTAGCCATCCCTGTGACAGCTATTTCTGCAGGCCTTTGATAAGTCCTTACCTAGAGCCACAGCATCCCTTGTCAGGGTTGGTTAGCGCTGGCTGCTCTGCCCACAGCCCCAGGGACTGGATGCGTGGTTAAGCTCCGGACTGGAGAATGCTGATGAACACTACTGTGGAGAGAACAATTGGGACAAACAGTTGGATTTGTTCCACGGATGCATACACAGGTTTCATGCATACAGAGTAAAAACGTGGGGCTGCACGCATGCATGGGGTTGTGCTTCACAAGGTAACAGAGCTAAGTGATCAGTGTGACAGATGGTGATGCTTTAGATTGATGATTTCAGGCGCTAAAGAACATGTCTTTTAATGAGAACAACCTTTAGCTTCTCCGGTTCCCCCTAAAGATTACCAATCACCTTACGATCTCTAATTGATGCACATCAAATAACTTTGCTCATGTACGTTGCACAAATTCAATCTTTATTTTTAGTGTCGCATAATGTCCACATTATTTATTCATGATTTTAAAGTCAATAGAAAAGATTTGATGAGTCATCCTTTCATGTTCGGTAGAAGACTGCTGCAGATAAAATAACAAGCCCTAGTGACAGCATGAAGGAAAGGAGATTATCCCTTCACATTTGTTTGCTCCTTAGCATTTATATTACATTAACACATGTAATTATTCTAATGTCATAATGGGCCAATTACCGTCCCTGTGTGGAGACTGGTGCTGTGCTACTGAACACAGAATGTTTCCCCACTAACGACTCTGCCTTTTTTGTATCGTTGTTTTATTGTTGTGTTGTACTATGATCTGTGTTGGCTATTGTGCCGTTCTATTTGCTGTGCAGTCCCCGAGCTGCTAGCGAGCCCTGGCTTTGAGGGCCTATGTTTAACTCCATTAGAAATCTGAGTGGGTTTAACAACAAGGACTCACACATACCGAAGCCAAAATCTGGCATATTACTGTACTGCATTCAGTTTCAGATTTGATTCATTTACCGTTTTGGATCACGTTGGATTGTGTTCTGTTGATCAATGTTTAGTGTTTACTCCTGCTTCACAGCTTCACGTGTTCAGAATAATACATAAGGTATTTCTTGTCTCTCCTTCCAATTCCTACAGTTGATAAGTGGAGGTTCAATCGTCAACGCTGAGGCGGTATGGGACCATGTGACCATGGCGGACCGGGAGTTGGCGTTTAAGGCCGGTGACGTCATCAAGGTGCTGGACGCCTCCAACAAGGACTGGTGGTGGGGCCAGATTGATGAGGAGGAAGGATGGTTCCCTGCCAGCTTTGTACGGGTGAGTTAGCTGCAGCCATGGCTGGCCAGCGACCACAGACACAACAGACACCCACACACGTACACAAATGGAGGCACATGAACATATGCACCCGAGCTGATAAATAAACATACTGGAAGGTACACATGCACAATTATTCCGCCTTACACAAATACACTTTCACAAAGCACACACATTAATATGCTTGTTCCACAGTTCCACTGTTAAGTGCTGCTTTATTTTAATAATACATAACACTGAAGAGAGGAGAAAACAGCTAGCGAGGTGCCTTTATCGGATGTTCAGGGACAAGAAAACAAAGATGCTGATGAGCCCCCTTTTTTTTTTGTAGCGTAGCATCACCTTCAACTTCTATCCTTGAAATCCAATTAAATTTACAACATCCTCGCATTACATCATGATTATGTAATAGCACCCATGTCTTAGTTCAGCTGAATCCAAAAACTGCACGCTGCCACTGAATGCCTTTCCCTACTACTTTTACTTCTGCTTTCTGTAATTGCACTTCTCTTGGAATGGTGAAGCGTGACTGTACAGGAAGATGTATATTCATAGTTTAACCTTGCGATATGTTTTTGAAATTTCTTTGGATGAAAGCGGAAGGCTTCTCGCCTAAAGTCTTAGTCCAAGGCATATATTTGCGACTATGATATTTGACATCACAGCAAATTTGGAAGCAAGCAATGAAGCATGGCAGTGGAAATCCATAAAATTGTGATGCTGCAACCCTGAAATATACATTTCAGATATAGCAGGAAAAGGCTTTTTTCTGAAAATTAAAAATTTGAAATGAAAAATGAAAAAAGACACAATTTATGATGCAAAGTAGAATATATCGTTGAACATTCCTGATATGGTTTAGTGTCTTCATGAAGGAAGGAAGAATTAGCATCTTTGCTGCAGTTGAAGGGATCCCACAGCAGAGCACCCACCCAGACACTTTCCATGGTCATTCCCACCTGTCCACCCTTCCATATTCACTCCTGAGAGGGCAGGGCAGACAGGCTGACTGACTGTCAACCAAAAAGTATCTTTCTGTTCTGTCATTCTCTCTTTCCAAGGTGGAACCCCACCCTCCTCAGCCCCAAACAAAACAGGTTTTCTATATCAACCCCATAGCAACTCCACGGTTCCAAAACACCACGTCAAAGGTGCGTTTTTTTTCCCAGCTTCATCTACCCATCCAGCCTGCCCGCCCACCCGCCCGCTCCAGTCTGTCCACGCAACGTGCCCTCGACATTACCAAACATTAACGTTATCACATCATTCCTCAACGGGGTCGATAGAGAGGCAGAACTGATGAGTCAAAAGTAAAGCTAATGTGAAATGTCTCCTTAAAGGGCCATTCTAAAAAAAAAAATTGTACAGATGTATTCACATAGAATTAGATGGATTTTGGAAAAATTACTCATGTTTTTTTTTTATAGTTCAATTATGGATCATTCTCTTCAGTACTCTATTTACTATTGACTCTGACTATTTCTCAGTCTTAATGCTGTGCTACTAGTTCTCGTCTGCAGTCAGTGCTCTACCACCCGTCACTCTGCTTGTCTGTGGCGCTACATTTCTCATCTTGTGTTTGACATTCTACCCGTCGGTTCTTTGATGTTCTCTTGGCAAACTGTGTGTCATCAGGTGTTGGCTGCTGGGCATCTGAAAACACGCTCACTTGGCCCTTTCTATGAGCGAGAGTGGAATACACGATGTATGTGGATCTCTATGTGTGTGCGTGAGTGTCGGTGAAATCACAAGGTGGTATTTGAGCGTGCATGCATATGTGTAGGGGGCAGATTTTGAGTCACACATTAAATGCCCTCAGAATATGTGCTCGGTCTCTGAGAGAGGCTTTTTTATACTCTGGAGTGTTTGGCAGTGTGTTTTTTGACATGCTGGACCAAGAGAGCGACTCACTGTCTAAACTACCAGAGGACCTCTTAATGAAGCGCTGTGTTTATGTGTGGGATGTTTGGGTGTGTATGCTTTCATGTGTGACTGGTAACACATTAGGAGAGCTAATATTACTTGTTAATACTAACAATAATCATTATATATGAATATGTTGTCTAATCCTTTTTTTCCCCACCCAACCTTTAAGAAAGCTCTTTACTCATTCGAATGCATGTGGCTCTTGTGTGTGCATGAATGTATTTGTCCTCAGCTGTGGGTGAACCAGGAAGACGGTGGAGCAGAGCCAGCTGAGGGAACCAGCGAGGTACAGAACGGGCACCTGGATCCAACCAATGACTGCTTATGTCTGGGCTCACCCCTCCAAAACCGAGACCAGATGAGGGCTAACGTTATAAATGAGATTATGAGCACAGAGAGACATTATATCAAACACCTCAAGGACATCTGTGAGGTACTAAACATCGGCACACATTCATAAATCACACATCTATGTACACTGCTGTTCCCGGCTTTGCTTTAATATGTCAAGTAAGAGCAGGACAGGTTATAAACTATATGGTATGAAGCTGAATTAATTAAAAAGCAGCAGTCTTTTTGATGCTACGCATCTAGTATCTTGCATAAATTCGTAACACTCCCACATTCACACTTTTCTTCCAGCCATTTTTTTTCTTTCTCGTTTGCTAAACAGGCCAAAAATAATGCTTTTTTAGCTAAATGCAAAACCGCAATATGTCAGCTGTACACAGTGGTCCCAGCAGTCCAGACTAAATTTGTCATTATATTATGAATCATCCTGAAGTGACAAGCTAAAATTCACACCTAATAAAAATAAACAAAACCCTGGCCATTTTTTATATTATTAGAATTGCAGCTCTTTAAAAATGCTTCCAAGCCAGGAATCTCAGTCTAATATATAATAAACAGACATGTATCCTCTATAAAGTGCACACATTCTAACATTTGAATATATTAATAACTTAATTTCTAAAATATTTGGAGCTAGTACAATTTTGCCTCTATATGCTGCATCATTTGATTTAAATGTCTTTACAACATACACTACATACAGCCTGCTTTTCCCTGGCATGTGTCTGGTCTTTAAACAGTGGTATCTAACTCACTAATCTAAGTGACAATCACTGTTATTTACTGGCCACCACACTAATGATAAAAGGCACTTGACTGATTAATCATCAGCAAGTGTGAGCACCTAAAAGAAGACGTTTTGGCACTTTGCTGTTCAGGTGTGTGCTCACACAATCCCACAATCTTCCCAGCAGTAAATGTCCCAGCATATTCACTCCATCATCAGACTGCGTGATGCTCGTAAAACCTCCAAAAAACCCCAACGCTACATCTCAGACTCTGCAGCCCTCAGTTAGCATGTTTAAAGTTCATGACAGTGCAATCAAAGAAAGACTGAACAAGTATGGCTTGTTTGCAACGTTTGCCAAGAGAAAGCCTCTTCTCTTTAAAAAGAACATGCTTATGTTTTCATAAGCATCTGAAAAAACAACAAGACCTCTGCAACAATGTCCTTTGAACAGACAAGACCAAAGTGGAGATGTTTAGCTGTAATGCACAGCACACAGCAGTGCTATATGCTAGAATAAACTGTTTTGAACTTAGACGATTTCCATCACATATTTTCCAATCATCTTTCCCTAAACTGCTCTATACATGTTTGTATTCCAGGTCATATCTAGGTAAGCATCTTGTTTAAGAATAGTTGCAATAAAGCGTGGATTTTACCTCTGCACGTCTTGCTAATGTAAGCAACTTTGATCTTCCACATATTCAAGGACATGCATGGGCAAAGAATATTTCTGAGCTGAGGAACAGATTTGAACAAGCTCACTTTTAAATAATAAAAACTGAAGTTGAAGAGCTAAAAACCAGACCAAGCAATCAAAAATACAGATGTAGAATATTCTGGATTTAAAAAGCCGGTCAGTTCATTAAAGTAAGTTGCTTCGGTGTTTTAGAAAAGTTACAAAGAAGAAGAAATTTTGCACTGCTGAATTCAAAATGATGCTAAGATTTTTTTTATTATTTAAAAAATTATTTATTAGATGCCTGTAATGTTTTTTATGTTTTTCAGATGTTTTAATTTGTCACCAGTAAATGACTTGATCGTTGAAATGTCACATTTCTCAGATACAATAATGTGAAGTCCCTGTTGTGATTATGCATATTTGAACTGAGCCTGACTTCAAGAAACAAAACAAAAAGGATTAGCATGCATATTTCACAATGACAGCAGGGAGAAGTCTGGCTATCTTATATCAGATCTGTTCCCAAAGTGCCAAAGCTTCAGGGCATTTAATTAACTACAAGCAGCCATGGCACAGTTCGAGACCTGATACTCATTTTGAAAAATGTTTGTGCTCATCTGAACAGGATCATCTGTCAAAGCCTCACTGTAGCTGTAACCGGTGTTGTTTGCAGGGCTACTTGCGCCAGTGCAGGAAGCGCGTGGACATGTTTAACGACGACCAGTTGAAGGTCATCTTTGGAAACATCGAGGACATCTACCGCTTTCAGATGGGTTTTGTCAGAGATTTGGAGAAACAGTACAACACAGAGGAGCCGCACCTCTCTGAAATCGGGCCGTGCTTTTTAGAACACGTGAGTATATTTTAGACAAACTTAGACCAAAAATGAAAGAAGAAGAAGAAGAGAATAGATTTTTCTTTTATCGTCTCGTTATCTTGTGATAATATTTAAATTGTGGAGCTAATTAACCAGCTAACAGCATCCTAAGATAAGAAGAAATTAATGTTTTAGAAACCATAATCACTCCCCTATTTATATGATTTTTCTTTTTAATTATCCTGACGATGTCCATCTCTACTCCTTTGCACTACAGCAAGACGGTTTCTGGATTTATTCAGAATACTGTAACAACCACTTGGATGCCTGTATGGAGCTGAGCAAACTGATGAGGGATGGCAGGTACCAGCACTTCTTCGAAGCCTGTCGCCTCCTCCAGCAAATGATTGACATCGCCATAGATGGCTTCTTGCTCACGCCCGTCCAGAAAATCTGCAAATATCCACTCCAGTTGGCCGAGCTTCTTAAATACACCGCACAGGAGCACAGGTACAGTACGCCGAGGCCACGAATAACTTTTCAGCTGTTTCCTTTGTTGCCCTTTTATAGAAATGCATTTGCTTCTAAAAGTGAAGTCATTACTGATGCATCATTTTGTTCCAGATGCATTGTGTTGCAATGCAGCTGTTGCAGGTGTTGGGTTTAAACCACTGAAGCGGTAATTATCCATGCATTAACTGAAGCAAATGTTGTTTTGTACTCTTTTTTTCCTTTTTTTTTAAGAAAACCTCTCATTACAAACTCTAAGTTGTCTTGAAAATACTAAATTCCACTGTTCATATATACAGTATTCCATTCCACACACACACACATATATATATAGAGAGACAGAGAGATAACAGGTTAAATATGAATTGAGGATTATTTTCTTCGGGTGTTGGCACACACACAACAATCTATGTTTTTGCAGCACAGAAGCAGAGTATGTAATCTAAACATTTGCTGATGAGCTTTCATGCATTAAACGCATATGTGCGCATCCAGATGTGCAAACTCATGCGTGCAAACCCACGGAAACATGGTGTAAGTGATTCAGCATGTCTCAGCCAGCTCCAGGTCATTCACAAACCACGCGTTCTCAGCCAGAGAGGGACAGGTGCCAGCTCTGCCAGCGAGGCCTGCCAGATCGCAGTGTTTGACTGTTAGGAGCAGTGGAGAATCTGCCAGATATAGGACTCTCTCTGTCACACAAGCACACACACACACATATTATCTTCCAAAGTGAGGATTGGATCTGCAGCACATCTAAGCCAGAGGGATAAATCCAGCTCAGTTAGCAAAGACGCAGCCGGAGTTGACTGTGAATAGAGAAAGTGGCTGATTAAAATTAAATAGCAGTGTCTTTTTTCCCTTTTTTTTGAGTGTGTTCCAGCAGATTTACTACTGTTACTTGAGTTTATAACCCCGCTCTTTAATAGGCTACTCTGTATCATTAACTACTACAACATTACATGCCTTTGAGTGGCCAACCACCAAGAGCTACAACACTCTTAAACACCCAAGAGTAATTATGTGTGCACTGTGTCTGTAGTGACTATCGATACGTGGCAGCAGCGCTGGCAGTAATGCGGAACGTCACCCAGCAAATCAACGAGAGGAAGAGACGGCTGGAGAATATTGACAAGATCGCCCAGTGGCAAGCCTCGGTTCTGGACTGGGAGGTATGTGTATGAATGTACCGTACTGTACTGAACAAAAGCTTAATGTTTATGTTTTTATGTTTCCCCAAATGGTGCCATTAATTCCTAAAATGTGGGGCGTAGACAGCATTTACACCCAAAGCATCTCAGACTAAAGAAAAGGGTCCATCAGCAACACCTATGCCTTTGTTTTCATTTTACCACCAGAAAGGGTCTTTGCTCAAAGGGCAATAAAAGAAATCCAGCCATGGCCAGCAGCCCATAGTAGCAATGTAAATTACATTGAATGGTTGTGATATGCTACAGTAAGCTCCCCCGCTGCTGCTTTTCCCTGTGGGCTTTTCTCTAATTTTTTCATGGCAGATTCGGGTCGAGTGAGTTTAAAATACTGAGATATTTTGGCGGCATTTTCAGACGTTTAGTGTTAACTATGAGGTGCCAAACTGGAGAAAAAATGTTAAGAACAGCGATACAGAGAGATTAAAGCGGTTAAATTGCCCGTTAACGTGCTTGAGACTGACGTGTTTGAGAAAGGGAAACAAATGAATGCAGATGATTTGATCTGCAGACTCTTTTCAAGAAACTCTGCGAATCAAGCGCAGGCCTTCCTGGGGGCAACAGTGCTGCTCGTTGATAATAATTAATTTACTCTGATGGTAGTAGTTTCACTTGCAGAAATTCACATTGCGACACACACTTACTCAGAACATACTTTTTATTTTACCACCAACAAAAACAGTAACATACAATAATAACAATAAGAATATATCATAATATATTTATGCTCTCTCTTTCATAAACAAGCAGAAGAAAAAGAGCAAAAACGGATTTGGATTTTATTTTTCTCCTGCTACATTTCAGATGTCCTTTGTATTTAATCTGTGCATGAGACTGGATATAAAAACATTTACTTGTGCGGGTAATTTTTTTATTTCTTTGCAAAAAGTGTTAAATAATAAAGAAAAAATAAACAAATAAAATCTTTATAACTACTTCAAGGCATCCTGGTGCATCTTAGTTGACAGATGAACACCTGTTGGGAAGTTTTAGTTATACTTACAGTAACGTAGTGGCTTGACTTGAAGTTGAGTAACATCTTTCCTCTGCTCCTTTTTCATTGTTACACACATAGTCGAGACACAGTGAAACACAGAGCAGAGGAGACTAATAAGGCAGAGACTCTCACGCTGGGCTACAAAGTAATGACTGCAGTAAAGTAATGTAAATAACATAAATAAGGTAGTTTGTTTTGACTCGCTTTGCCAGCAGAACACTCTGGACCGCCATCTTATGTTTAAATGATGTGACTGTCTTAGTCTCTTTTTAAATGCCTGTAGGCCGACGAGTGCTTTTTTACTAACATACCAAAAAACAGATGAGCTAGGATTGAAACACACACAGCAGGAAAGCGAGTGTTTAAAAACTGAAAAAGACACCTTGATTTTCAGAGCAGGACGTGACTGTGTTGACTGATTTCCAAAGGGTTAATCCAGCAGTTTACTACTGCACTTTGCAAAGTTGGGCAGCTCATAATAAGATTTTATTTTATTTACTAGTTGGTTTCAAGATTGGTTGGTTTCCAGCACTCCCCCTTCCTACCTGGAGAGACATTTAGATGTTTCAGCCTGTAAAAAACGTTCCATAATTCCGATTTATCCCTGATGACATGATTATGACATTATCAGGTATTATCCAAGACTTCTTTGTGAACCACAAAATATATTATGTAACTGTTTCCACAGGCTGAGTGCGACTAACGGTGATGAGTAAATGAATTTTTGCTGTAGCAGGAGTATTCTTTTCATTCGTTAACTCTTTAACTGTTGTGTTTATGTCTAGGGGGATGATATATTGGACAGGAGCTCAGAGCTCATCTACACTGGGGAGTTGTCATGGATCTATCAGCCGTATGGACGCAGCCAGCAGCGAGTCTTCTTCCTCTTTGATCACCAGCTGGTCCTCTGTAAGAAGGTAAGGCTGTGTCTCTCTCTTCAATGTCTTCCCTTTATTTAAAGACTTTATTGAGTGAAAACATGCTTGGAAGCTAAAATGTAGCCTCCACTCGTGTTCTTGGAAGTTGCAAGATCACATGGCTGGTGACAGACACGCTTGAAGACAATGTGAATTCTTACAACCTGAGTCAAGAGCTGAAAACAGATTACATAATGCTGCATGAGACGCACCAGCCCTCGCTGAAGATGCGTTCAAATCCTCAGTGCCTTTCACAAAATGGAGCTTTGGTAGTTTAGGCTCTAATGCACCAAGGCTGTGCTCGCCTGTCAGACGAATGTTCACGCCTGGATTGACTCAATACACGCACAGAGATACAGACACAAATGCAGGCAGACACTTAGACACAAACACACACAGAGGCTGAAAAACTGCATCACGAACACACACGTGTGGAAGCAGAGGAACAATAGTTTTATCACTACACAGACAAACACACACACAGAACAAAAAACAAAGACTTGGAGTTATATTGTCTTTCCACGCACACACACACATCCTCCCCTGACTTGTCACATTTGAACATCTATGGCACCAGAAATGAACTCAGGTATGTCCTCAGACCTCTCTGTGTGCCTGCTGTTCTGGTCCACTAACAAAAATCTGCTCCGAGTCATTCTACATTATAAATTCCAGTCTTTGTTTTTATTCTTGCTTATCCAGCATCCTCAGTGCTACATATGTATCGGCTCCTAAGAGCCCTCGGGATGCGTGAGGAGCACATTACATGTTGCCTGCCTTCTTTTCCTCTCATCTCTTCCTTATCAGCACAAAGATGCACATTTGCCTCTGCATGCTTATTAAAAGACGCCCGATCCTTTCTTTGTACCTTCGTCGACCTCGCAGCGTAACGGGATGTTCATTTCCTCCTGAGGGAGGGGTCGCGGCGAAGAATTTTTCATGTGGCCATCTTGTTCCTGCAAATGATAAAAGTTAGAAGGGTTACAGTTATTGTGCTGCGTGTGCTCGTGGAGAGCAGAAATGCAAAGCAATAACAATATCAGTCAATTCTCATTCATTAGTTGTGTTTGTGTCTATTGCAGTATGTGTTTTATAGCTGCTCGTGTGTTGGGCTCAGGTACTCAAAAATCATGTTGCTCAGAAATTAATAGATAGAAAGTTGAAATTTCAGAACATAAATTTTGAACCTTTAACTGAAATTTCTTCTTACTAAAAAGGACATATTCCATGACCTGACATATGCCAAAAAAAAGCCCTTTTCACAATTTACAACAGAATTTTCAGTTTTACACAGTAAAAAAAATATGATATTTTCTATGAATTCACATGAGATGTATTTTTTAAATTTCAGGTTCTTTTATTTCTTTATTTCCTTTACAGTGGAAACCCAATGGGTCGTCCTGAAACATTTCTGATTTAATAAAATGGCTTTTCTTTTCATGCGAAAAAACAGAGATATTGCTAAAATTAAGCTTTTTCATCTTAAGATAGCTCAGGAATTACATTTGTAGTTGAACGTCTTCATGTGCTTAGTAAATGGACATTTTTTAAAAAGTTATTAGGCACCTTCACTGATGTGGCCCATTTAATATGAAATTACACTGGATGCACCCTGTGATGTTAAATGAGTTTGAGACCCCTGCTAAACAAATATTCGATTCATGGCGGTGTCATTTTACAGTCATTCGTCTGGTTTTAGTGGTGTATCTGATAATCTAGTGCCATGTGTCCTTTTTTGTGATATTAGGCAAAGAACTGAAAAATAGGGCTGTTTTCTGCGGCGTGTGAGTGAAAGGTGTCACGTAAGGCAGACTCTCGAGATACCGTGTTTGTCGGCTCTTCTAAGATTCAGATTCAGCACACACACAATGACAAAAATCTATCTGCTCTTCACCAGGATCTGATACGCCGGGACATCCTGTACTATAAGGGCCGCATTGACATGGATCGCTACGAGGTGCGGGACACTATAGACGGGCGTGACGAAGACTTCAACGTTAGTGTGAAGAATGCCTTTAAATTGTGCAACAAAGACAGCGAGGAGATCCACATCTTCCTGGCCAAGAAGCCAGAGGAGAAGATCCGCTGGCTCAGGGCCTTCGCCGAGGAGAGGAAGATGGTGCAGGAGGATGAGAAAATCGGTTAGTCACACACCGCTCTACACCTCGCTGTTTGAAAACTATTAGTTTTGTTCACAAAATGCTAGAACTTCAGTTTATTATTTTGTATATTTATCACATTTACATAGATGAGGTCGTCAAGCACATTTTAATATTTTGCTAAGGAAATCTGAGTAAATCCAAAATGCAGTTTTTAAATGGTGATTTCATTCATTAAGGGAAAAAAGCTATGCCAGTCTACCTGGCCCTGTGTGAAAAAGTAATTACAAAGCCATTTCTAAGGCTTTGGGACTCCAGCGAACCATGATGAGAGCTAATATTCAGAAAGCGGTGACAGTGGTGAACCTTCCCAGGAGTGACTGGCCTACCAAAGTTACTCCAAGGACGCATTAGCGGCTCATCCAGGAGGTCACAACAGAACCCAGAACAACATCAACAAGAACTGCAGGCCTCACTCGTCTCAGTTATGGTCAGCATTCATGATTCAACAATAAGAAAGAGGCTCAGCAAAATGTTCAAGGCAAAAACCACTGCTGACCAAAAAGATCACAAAATCTTCTGTTGCATTTGCCAGAAACCATCTTGATGATCCATAAAACTGGGAAATATCTTCAAAAGCTGAACTTTTTGGAAAGTTTGAGC